AATACCAAAAAATCTACAACTACACACATCATATTCACACCAGAACAGAAAACAAGAGACAAAAAGAAAATCTGAAGCCAGAACACAAAAAACACCTTAACTATACAGGAATAATAATAAAAATCACATCAGATTTCTTTTCAGACATCATGCAAGCCAAACAGAGCGGAGGGAAATATTAAAGCACCATCAATCAAATTGGATCGGACATTCACAGAATACTTCATCCAAGAACAGAATATGCATTCTTCTCAAGTGTACATGAACATTCACCAAAATAAACCACATTCTAGGCCATGAACACACCTTAACAAATTTAAAAGAAATCTGCAGAAATCATACAGTATATGCTTTTAGACCACAATGGAATTAAACTAGAAATCAGTAAGAGAAAGACAGGTGGAAAACCCCAAAATGCTTTGCGATTTAACAACACATTTCTAAACGGCACATGGGTCAAAGAAAAAAATCGCAAGAGAAATTAAAATATTTTGAACTACAGGGCACCTGGGTGGCTCAGTGGGTCGAGCCTCCGCCTTCGGCTCAGGTCATGATCTCGGGGTCCTGAGATCGAGCCCCACATCGGGCTCCCTGCTCGGCGGGAAGCCTGCTTCTCCCTCTCCCACTCCCCCTGCTTGTGTTCCCTCTCTCCGTCAAATAAATAAATAAAATCTTTAAAAAAATAAAATAAAAAATAAAATATTTTGAAAAGAAAATCAATTTAACAAAATTCGTGGTATGTAACAAAAGCAGTGCATAAAGGAAAATCTATAGCATTGAATGCATATATCAAAGAAGAAGAAACATCTGAAAGCAATAATCTCAGCTTTAATTTTGGGAAACTAGAGAAAGATGAGCAACACAAAACTAAAGCAAGTAGAAGAAAAAAATATTAAAAATTAGATCAGGAATCACTGAAATTGAAAACAGAACACCAGAATACCAACGGATTAAAAGTCAAAAAAATTAAACTTAGTTCTTTGAAAAGATAAATAAAAGTGATAAACTTCTACATAACATAACCAAGAAAAAAAGAGAAATGACACAAATTATTGATACAAGAAATGAAAGATGGGTCATCACTACTAATTGATGAACAATTATAGGATAATTAAGCAAAAATGCACTCTACGCCCACCAATTTATTGACTGGAATGGACCCTGAGAGACCTAGAAGTACCAAAAATTATGTAAGATAGAGATAACCTGAAGAGTCCTATACTGATTAAAGAAATTAAATCAGTAATCAGTAACTCTCACCAAACTAGGAATAAAGAAGACTTTTTTTTTTAAGACTTTATTTATTTACTTTAGGGAGAGAGACCACAGAGCAAGAGGGAGAAGCAGACCCCTGCTGAGCAGGGAGCCTGACACCTGGCTCAATCCCAATATCCTGGGATCGAGACCCAGGCCAAAGGCAAATGCTTAACTAACTGAGCCAGCCACCCAGGTGCCCTAAAGGAAACTTCTTTAACTTGATAAAGATTATCTGCAACAAGTTACAATTAACACCATGGTTAATTGTGAGGAACTTGAAGCTTTCCCACTAAAATATGGTACAAGGGAAGGCGCCTGGGTGGCTCAGTTGGTTGAAAGCTGTACTCTTGATTTCAGCTCAGGTCACAGTCTCAGGGTTGTGAGATCAGCCCCATGTTGGTAGGCTCTGTGCTGGGCATAGAGACTACTTAAGATTATCTCCCTCCCTCTGTACCCCCTGCCCCCGCCCCGGACTGCTCATGCACTATTAAAAAAGAAAAAAACAACACCCAAAACCCTGCGGAATTAATAAGTGATTACAGCAAGGTCACAGCTAAGGTTACTAAAAACGTCAGGGACAACGTGGATGGACCTAGAGAGTGTTATGCTAAGTGAAACAAATCAGAAAAATACAAATATTACATGATTTCACTTATAGGTAGAATCTAAAAAACAAAATAAATGAACAAACAGAAACAAACTCATAAACAGAGAATAAGCTGGTGGTTGCCACAGGGGATGGTGTGGGGAGATGGGTGAAATAGGTGAAGGGATTAAGAAGTGCCAATTTAAAGTTATAAAATAAAAAAGTCACAAAGATGAAAAGTATAGCATAGGAGTATAGCCAATAATATTGTTAATAACACTGATGGTGACTACACTTACCATGATGAACAGTGAGTAATGTGTAGAACTGTCAAATCATCATGTTGTACACATGAAACTAATAGAACACTGTATGTCAACTATACTTCAAAAAAATATACACATATATACAAAAGTTCATTGCTTTCTTATATGCCAGCAATGAACAGCTGAAATTTGAAATTATAAACGCAATATCATTTATGCTAACATCAAAAAACATATTTAGGTATTAATATTAGGTATTAATATTTAGGTATTTAGGAAATATTTGGGTATTAATCTTTATTTAGGTATTAGGTCTTATTTAGGTATTAATCTTTAAATATTTAGGTATTTAGGTATTAATCTTTAAAAATGTACAAGATCTGGGGTGCCTGTTTGGCTCAGTCGGTTAAGCGTCCAATTCTTGATTTTGGCTCGGGTCATGAGATCAAGCCCTGTGTCAGGCTAGGCACTGGGCGTGGAGCCTGCTTAAGATTCTCTCTTTTCCTCTGCCCCTCTCCCCTACCCACCAAAAGTACAAGATCTATAGGAAAAAACACATTAAAAACTCTGATTTAAGGAATCAAAGAATATCTAAATAAATGGAGAGACATTCCATCTTCATGGATAGGAAGACTCACTATTGCTAAAATGCCAAATTTTCCCAGTATGATCTAGATATTCAATACAATCTCAATCAAAATCACAGCAAGTTATTTTGCGGATATCAACAAACTGATTTTAAAGTTTATATGAAGAGGCAAAAGACCCAGAATAACCAAAATAACATTGAAGGGGAAGAACAAAGTGGAGGGCTCATATTACCTAACTTTAAGAATTACTATAGGGGGGCACCTGGGTGGCTCAGATGGTTAAGCGTCTGCCTTAGGCTCAGGTCAAGATCCTGGGGTCCTGGGATCGAGTCCCGCATCGGGCTCCCTGCTAGGCGGGGAGCCTGCTTCTCTCCCTCTGCCTCTGCCTCTCTCTCTGACTTTCATGAATAAAAAAAAAAAAAAAAAGAATTACTATAGGGGTGTGCCTGGGCAGCGCAAACGGTTTAGTGTCTGACTCTTGATTTCTGCTCAGGTCATGATCTCAGGGTGGTGAGACAGAACCCATGTCCAGCTTGGGGCTCAGCGCAGAGTCTGCTTGAGATTCTCTCAATCCCTCTCCCTCTGCCCCTCCCCATGATTGTGTGTGCATGCAAAGCACATGCGCACTCTCTCTTTAAAATAAATAAATAAATAAATCTTTTTTAAAAATTGTTCTAAATTCCATCTAGAAATGCTGAGGGAATATATTTTTATTTTCCATATACTTCATCTACAAAAAACATTCATTATAATGTTTTAATTATAAACAGCACCTGAAATGTAGCAATCTGAATTCTTAAGGTATAGGTATGAACAAATAAAATTATGAATAATTCTACATATAATTCATAAGGAGGAAAGATGCCAATGAACTAAAGAAACACATTGATTAAAAATATTATATTACTGAATTAGTGTTCACTGTATATAGTTTTCAGTGTTCCAAGATGAAAAAGTTCTAGAGTTTTGTTATACATACTTAACATTATTGAACTATACACTTAAAAATGGTTAAGACATCAAATTTAATGTTATGTGGTTTTTTAAAACTTTTATAAAAAAGTTTTAATACTTTATTACAGTATTTGTTAGCATGCTTCATTCAATAACTTAGGAAAGGCCTGAAGTTAATATGCTAAAACATAAAAATAGTAGAAACATCAGCTTCCATATAATTTTCATTTGTGCAAATTATTTCCTTCAAAGACAAAAAAAAGAAAGAATAGAGGTTGAAATTGATTTGTTTTTCTTCACATTTCCTTCCCCTCATTACTGAACAAAAATGGAAGATTTTTAAGCTTACTTTTAATGCCTTTTATCCTAAAAATTACAGTAAATAAAAGATGAATGACTAGTAAATTTTATCCTTCTCAATAACTGCGTCTAGTGGATGGTTATTACACGATAGCCATAAAGTAAACTTCTTCCATTTAAGTAAGTTAAAAACATGATAAAACACTCCATATTGGCTAGGTTATTTTTACCATGCAATTTCCACTTAATGCTTTTCTATAACCCAATTTCAAAAATTATACAGAACACTGTTGAGGCAATGAAGTCTCTGCTTCTGAGAGAAGTTAAAAAAAAAAGACACCAGATTTATTTTCACGGTGGTTTATTCTAGCACAGTATAAGAAAAATGAAAAATAAAAAAGAAGCAAAGTTGAAAACAAACATAGGTTTTCCCTTACTGTCAAATTTACTAAATACACCACTCATTAGTCATCTCCATTAACAAAAGATGTGTGTATGTTGGTGTGTGTGTGAGTGTCTGGATGTGTATGACATGCCTAAAGTTTCACCATAATAATCCTGAAATAGCACAAGCTAAAACAGGCTCTCACTTCAAAATGTAATAGTCCATTTAAATCAACAATCTAGAAGATCCCTGTTCCAATATGGGACCAGAGAGTCGTTAATGAACAAATACAGAGCCAGTTTTCCTAAAAATGAGATACATAAACTACTGGTAATAATAAACCTTAAGTGGTACACTTAACCCAGGAGAGAGGACAAAGCATGTTTCTGGGGAACAAGGGTCTCCTCTAATCATATTTGCTTCTATAATGGTTTGGTACTAAAAACCATACCACTGATGAATCTCAAATGTGCTTGAATCCCTAGAACATTTGATATTTAATAACAGAAGCCAGTGGCCTAGTGAATTATACCCTCTTTGGTCCATGAGACCAAGAAATTTAAAGAATTAAATTTTATTAGAATAAGCTAAAGAAAATAAATAAATCTTCCTGTGTACACTGCTAGACAACTCTAAATTATGAAAAGCTGGAGAATATGTACCTGAATTCATTTAGGGCATCAACTATTCGATTATATGCCAAACTCCTCTGACTGGCATCCGCTGATCTCCGGCTCATTTTCATAGCCTTGGAAGCAATCAAATAGTTAATTCTTACACTGATCACAGGCAAACAATGGGAGGAAAAAAAAGTGAAAGACAAAATCACTTATTTCCACAACACTCTACCATCACGTAAAGAAGGCACATACATTTATAGTGGCTTTCTTTTTTGCATCTTTGATCATTAACAATTAAAATAAAATTCAAAATTTTCAAATGTTAAATCTCTTATTGTACCTGTCAAATGGCAGAATATCAACACACACACAAAAAAACTGATGTTGACATAAAACTACTTTTTTTTTTTTACTACAGAGCAAGATACAACGATACCTCAGTAACAAAAGCTCATGGCTTCCTCTAGTATTTTCACAGATAATGGCTTGTTAAGTAAACATTTTTAAAAATCTAAAACATCAGGATTCTACTGAAAGATATCTCAAGTTATTAATAATATTTGCTCTCTTAAAAACATATTTAGCCAAGGTTGAGAGGCCTTGCTTTAGGTGGACAAAAAGTGGATCACGATTAGGATATGAATGTCAAAAAGAACTATGTAATTGTTTAGACATTTTAAAGAGAATGGATTTCTGCATTATTTAGGTAATCAAAAATCAATTTAAAAAAATTTAAACATATATTTCAGAGGTCAGACTACTTTAAGACCAGAAATCATGTTCATGTACACCCAAAAGCTTCAGAAGGTAAAAGTGAAACTTTGTTTTTACAAACTGTTGAGATTCCCATTTTTTTTTAAAAAAAAAGTGAATATTCTTTAGCTAGAATTGAACACTATTCTCAACTTTACCAGCAGTAAAAATTTTAAATTACAGTATAGATCTCAAAAGCACAAACTTCAAAATAGTTCCCAAGGTACCCAGAAACAAAATCCATATATTTTCATTTAAAAAAACAAAACAAAACAATAAGTGATACTGTCAAAACTGGCCCTAAAAGAAAACTTCTTTGGATGGTCCAGTGTTTACTATATTCTATCGATAATTAACAGCTATAGAACTTTTAAAATTAAGTTCTGTTTATTTATATAAAGGTATTCATTCATTAAGCTTTATCTTTCAGCTATAATAAGAAATGAGATGTTAAACTTGTTGAACAAATATCGAAACAACTGTAAGGTACTGCAATGTACGCTTTCAGATTATAAAATGGTCAAAGCATTAAAACATTTAAAAAGTAATCTTTAATGAGTTCTATATTGCCTGAATATTTCAAGTTTTATGCAAAACTTGAACCAATTCTCCCAGTAACTCAAAACGTCAGTTCAGCCGCAGCTAAATATTGTGTATTCACTTTGGCAACATCAGATTTTTTACAAAAAGGGACAGCCGCCAACTGAAGAAAATGTCACCAAGGTCTAACTTCTGAAAGCCTAAGTGAAAATGGCCTTTACTCATTTGTTCAAATAAAGATGTATTGCTAATGATCTATTTGTCTTTTGGCGGATTTAATGTGAATAACAAACATCAATGTATTCTCTAGAGGCAGATGAGCCTCAGTCACTGCTGGGCTACTGAAATGCATCCTCTGCTTTCTAGGCCTTTCTAACTGGTCTTGTCTTCCTCTCTATAGCCTCTTATTCTACGCTCTTAAAAAACATACTGCTAAATGAATCTTCCTAAAGCACAATTTGGAGACAGCTTTAGTAACAAAGTCAAAACTTCTGGCTAGCATTCTAGATTCTTTGTGGTCTGGCTCCCATTAATTCTGCCAGCCATACCATCCACTACCCTTCTTCTATCCTTTCCCTTCCACATACTGTCAATGGGATTAAGAATTTAGTTATACCCACTGATTCATTACTTTAACTTCCTGGGAATCTCTTCTTAAAAATAATATGGAAACTTCACCACGATGTTAATTACAGTGTAGCTATAATTGTGAAAAAGTAGAAATGACCTAATAGAAAAACTATTACTTAACTTGAGGAAATCCTCTCAAATATATTTAAGAACACTTTACAATGACACGAGAAGTGTATATGTTACAATGATGAGTTTTTAAAAATAGGCCACATCATTAAATATGGACACAAAACAATCCCAATGAAGTTATAAAAAACAATATACATAGAAAAGGCCTGGGAAGGCTTTCAGCAAAATGTTACAGAGTTATTTTGGGTGGCAATTTTCTTGCTATTTAGCTACATCCAATTTTCAAAGCTTTATGTTTAAAAAATCCTACATATCCTTTAAGATGCAGTCCAGATGAAACATCTTCTCAATACGAAGTCATTTCCTATGAACAACTTTGCTTGTCTTTCTTTTTTATTCTTACGTCCTATCTTGTATTCACCATCTTCTTACTTGTATATAAATTTATTATATACACTATCAGCAGCATGAGACACAACTAATCACTCCTACCTTCTTAAAACATTCCATTCATTTGGCTCCCCTCAAAAAAGTATTCTATCTTGTTTTTCCTATTACTTGAATGGCCAATCACACTTCCTTCTGTGGTTCTTTCTCAACTCTTCAAATTTTAACTGAAATACTCCACAAATCAAGCCTAGGATCTCCTCTCCTTTCTTCTATCCCTCAGTTTCATGGCTTTAAATACCATCAATACATTGTTGACTAGCTAGCCTGGACCTTTCCCCTAAACTCTAGACTCATATAACCACTTAGATGTCCAAGAGGCATTTCAAACACCTGACTTTCCTCCACCCAACCTGTCCCATTTTAGTACTGGCAACTCCATCCTTCTTACTGCTCAAGTGAAAAATCTCAAGCCAACCTGTACTGTTCTCTTTCTCGTATACCCCAATTCAGTTCATCAACTAGTCTCATTAGCTCTATTTTTAAAACGTATCCAGAATCCAACCACTGCTCATCAATTCTAACTAAATTGGTTTGAGTATCCACCATCTCTCAATGGATCACTGCAACAGCCTCCTAATTGGTTCCCACAGCATCCACCTTTGCCTCTAGAAATCTATTCTTCACAAGCAATAAGAGTGATCCTCATAAATAATGTCATTCCTCTGCGTGAAACTCTCCAATGATTTCCTGTCTTTCTTAAGGGTAAATGCCAGTGCTCTTACAATGGTATCCCAGAAGTCCCTACATAATCTGAAGTTTCTTCTAAACCAGCCACTTTGGCCTCCTTACTTTGCTCAAACATCACAGTCCTTTGCCCTGCCTGGAAAATTCTTCCCTCAGATAATTGTACCTCACTTCTTCCATATCTCTGGATCAAATGTCATTTTATCAGGAGCCTTCATGACCAGCCAACAAAAATTAGAAGAACTCATCCAGCATTCCTTATAAACCTGTTTTATTTTTCTCCACAGCATTTATTATCATCAAAAATCATATATTTGGGGCACCTGGATGGCTTAATTGGTTAAGTGTCTGACTCTTGATTTTGGCTCAGGTCATGATCTCAGGGTCATGAGATAGAGCCCTGCATCGGGCTCTGCACTGGGCATGGAGCCTGCTTAAGATTCTCTCTCTCCCTCCTCCTCTGCCCTTCTCCCTGCTTGTACATGCATGCTCTCTCTCTCAAAAAAAAAAAAAAAAAAATTTATAATAATAATAAAATTTAAAAAAACATATATATTCATTTGTTTGTTTGCTGTCTCATGAGGTCCAGAGTGTTGCTTTTTTCCCATATTATCTTCAGTTGCTAGTGCTTGCCACATTACAGGCCCTCAGACATTTATTGAATGAACAGATGAATGACTTTATAACATTTATTAAGTAGTAAGCTCCTTGAAAAGAGTTGAAGTCTATTTTGCATCTCCAGAGCACTTTGTAGGGTACTTGCACTGTGGCTGTTAATTTTTCTGCCAAGTGAATAAACATAATACTAAACTAGAAAAATAAGATTCAGAGGAAAATAAAGGACATAAACAAACCAACAATATGACTGTGCTCACCTGTTCTATTGCACTCTTTAGTTTGTTCATGTGGCTTTCAAAGAGAGGAAAATGTGAAAAAAAGAACTCATTAAATTTGTTATTTTCATCTTCATCTTTGGATAATGAAAAGATTACCCCAATTGCAATCTTCTTTTTCCTCACAATTCCTGGGTTAGGGCCACAGCTTTCATCTGATAGATTAAAGCTTTCTTCTATAGACCTTAAAAATAAATGTTTTTTTAAATTAAAAAATACAAAAATAATTAAATTCACAATATAATTCCTTGCTAATTAAATGTAGACTAAAGATCTTTTTCTGTTTTATCAAGTAAATCTAAAAATGCATATCAACTGTTATCTCTTTAAGAAATCTACTGGCTATTCCTTCATGCTCACTTTTTTATAGGAAATTTTAACAGACAGTCACATTGGGAACATTTTTGTTCAATTAGAAGTCACTAAAAAAGGAGATAACCTCCAAATCATAACCAATCTAAAAAGGCCTGAATTTTTAGGTTTATAGATGAGTCTGATATAATTCACTGTTCTGTGATCTACTTGTGTTTCTCCTTTTGATTCCAGAAATAAAATTTAAAAAATCAAGGACTAAAGGGAATAAGTAAAAGGGGAAACAAGAAGCTGCATTATCTATAGTTGCTTAACATACACTTAAAAAAAGATCTTTCAAGAATGATTAAACTTGCATAATTACAAACATGAAAAACTGAAATATCAAAACATGCAGTACATTAATCAAACACCTAAACAGAAGAGTTAAAACTATAAAACTTTTAGAAAAAAATAGGGTAGGGGCGCCTGGGTGGCTCAGTCGGTTGAGCGACTGCCTTCGGCTCAGGTCATGATCCTGGAGTCCCGGGATCGAGTCCCAAGTTGGGCTCCCGGCTCGGCGGGGAGTCCGCTTCTCCCTCTGACCCTTCCCCCTCTCATGCTGTTTCTCTCTCGCTCGCTCTCTAATAAATAAATAAAATCTTAAAAAAAGAAAAAAATAGGGTAAAAGTTTTATGATACTGAATTTGGCAACGACTTCCTGGATATGACACCCAAAAGTACAGATACCAAAAGAAAAAAAGAGATAAACTGGACTACATAAAATTAAAAACCGCTGTGTATCAAAGGACACTGTCAACAGAATAAACAGACTACCCATGGAATGGGAAAAAATACTGCCAAGCATATGTCTGATAAAGGATTAGTATCTAGAATATATAAGGAACTCCTATACCTCAACAACAAAAAAAACAAACAACCTAAATAAAAAATGGGCACAACACTTGTACAGACATTTCTCCAAAAGACAGACACATGGCCAAAAAGCACACACACAAAAAATACTCAATATCACTAGCCATTAGTGAAATGCAAATCAAAACCACAACGAGATACCACTTCACACCCACTAGGATGGCTATTATCCAAAAAACAAAAAATGACTATTGGAAAGAATGTGGGGAAATTAGAATTCTTGTGCATTTGTGGTAAGAATGTAAAAATGGAACAGCCACTGTAGAAAACAGTATGGAATTTCTTCAAAAATTTAACCATAGAATTACCCTATCACCCAGCAATTCCACTTCTGGGTATATACCCAAAAAGAATGAAAGGAGGGACTCAAAGAGGGTATTTGTATACCCATGTTCATATCAGCATTATTTGCAAAAGCCAAAAGATGGAAGCAATCCAATTAGCAATAATCGCACCTTGGATAAGCTCCATTGGCTACTCTGCTGTCACTGTGCAAAGCTAGGTGGAAGCAAACCAAATGTCCATCAACAGATAAGTGGATAAATAAAATGTGATACATACATACAATGGAATATTAATCAGCCCTAAAAAGGGATAAAATCCTGATACATGCAACAACATGGATGAACCTTGAAGACATGCTAAGTGAAATAAGCTACACATAAAAGGACAAATATTGTATGATTCTACTTATATGAGGTTTCTAAAGTATTTCTCAAATTCAGAGAGACAAAAAATAATTTTTTGAATGGTAGATGCCAGGAGCCAAGGGTGGGGAGGAATGGGGAGTTACTGTTTAATGCATACAGCTTCAGTCTGGGGAAATAAAAAAGTTCTGGACATGCACAGCGACGATGGTTGCACAACAGTGTGAAGTTACTTATAAGGTCACTGAACTATACACTCATACCGGTTAAAACTACCAATAATTTTTAAAATGTAATACATTTAAAAAGTTTCAAGACTTAAAATACACAAAATATAAGCCCAGGCTCTAAAAAAAAAAAAACCATTCAGAATTGTGTTTAAGGAACTATTCAGGGCACCTGGGTGGCTCGGTTGGGTGACTGCCTTCAGCTCAGGTCATAATACTGGAGTCCCAGGATCGAGTCCCAAGTTGGGCTCCCTGCTCAGCGGGGAGTCTGCTTCTCCCTCTGACACTCCCCCCCATGCTCTCTCTCTCTCTCTTTCTCATTCTTTCTCTCAAATAAATAAAATCTTAAAAAAAAAATAAGGACCTATTCAATTTTATTATAAAGTAAAGGTTCCAACTTACCATCTAGGAAATACCCCATTCTCCAAACTTGTTGTTTGGCTGCGTCGCCAACGTCGCTGGTAACTGCTGGCACAACTTCGGGTAAGTGAGGAGTTTGGAGAGGGAAATGGTGTAATAAGCAAGCTGCTGAGAGATGCTGACAAGTCAAAATAAAAACAAGTATAACGTAAGCATTTAAAAATACGTCAATAATAACTAATCTTTTTTTTAAGATTTTATTTATTTGAGAGAGAGAGATAGCAAGAGAGAGTACAAGCAGGGAGAGGGAAAAAGAGATAGGAGGAAGCAGGCTTTCCGCTGAGCAGGAAGCATGACATGGGGCTCAATCTCAGAACCCTGGGATCGTGACCTGAGCCGAAGGCAGAAGCTTAACCAACTGAGCCACCCAGAGGCCCCAAGATAAATTTCTTTTTAACAAATTTAACAGTAGTGACTCAAATTTTTCATTTTGCTTCATGAGCTTCTAAACTTTCCATTTAAAAAAATAACGTCATTGTTGAAGTCCCAGAGGAGAAAAATCATATACTAATAGTGCATTGGCAAGAGACTCTGAGACATTCCCCTTTTTATATTATTACTCCCACCCCTACTTCAGAAGAAAGGGCTAATTTAAAACAAGCATTATCTCTTTGGCCATGAGACTGTCCCCTAGCTTAGCTGAACACTTAGTCCTTAAATTAAAAGAAGTATGATGTGATTCAGGTTTTTAAAATTTAAATTCTAGTTAGTTAACAGAGTATAATATTAGTTTCAGGTGTACAATATAGTGATTCAGCAGTTCCACACAACATACCTTGCTCATCACAACAAGTGCATGCCTTAATTCCCACCCCCTATTTAACCCATCCCCCCACCCACCTCCCTTCTGGTAACCATCAGTTCTCTGTAGTTAAGAGTCTGTTTCTTGTTTTGCTTCTCTCTCATTTTTCCCCCTTGCTCATTTGTTTCTTAGATTCCACATATGAATGAAAGCAAATGTATTTGTCTTTCTCTCACTGACTTTTTTCACTTAGCTCAATACTCTGTAGCTCCATCTATATTGTTGTAAATGGAAGAGTTTATTCTTTTTTATGGCTTAGTAATATTCCACTGTATAAATTAACCAAATCTTCTTTATTCTACTCATCAGTTGATGGATACTCCATCATCTGTTTCCATAACTTGGCTACTGTAGATAATGCTGCTATAAACATGCATTGTAAACTGTATAAATGTGCATTAATTCTCTGAATTAATATTTTTATAGTACAATTGCTGGATTGCTGTGATTCATTTTAATGAAGCAGCTAGATTTTAAGAACAAAAGCTGTATTTGAAAATTAGTGTTTAGGGCGCCTGGGTGGCTCAGTTGGTTAAGCGACTGCTTTCGGCTCAGGTCATGATCCTGGAGTCCCTGGATCGAGTCCCGCATCGGGCTCCCTGCTCGGCGGGGAGCCTGCTTCTCCCTCTGACCCTACCCCCTCTCATGTGCTCTATCTCTCTCATTCTCTCTGTCTCAAACAAATAAATAAAATCTTAAAAAAAAAAAAAAGAAAATTAGTGTTTGAATGTCATTTGAAGATGTTATTTAAAAGCACATCATCTTATCCCTGTCACAATGGCTAGAATCAAATAAACAAGAAATAACAAGTGTTGACAAGGATATGAAGAGAAAGGACCCTCATGCACTGTTGGTGGAAATGCAAACTGGTACAGCCACTATGGAAAACAGTATGGAGGTTCCTCAAAAAACTAAAAAGCGAAATACCATATGATTCAGTAATTCCACTACTGGGTGTTTACCCAAAGAAAACAAAAACACTAATCTAAAAAGATATATGCACTCCTAAGTTTACTGCAGCATTATTTACAATTGCCAAGATATGGAAGCAATCCAAGTGTCCACTGATAGATGAAGAAATAAAGAAGATGTATACAATATTAGCCAATCATAAAATAGAATGAGATTTTGCCATTTGAAACAACACAGACAAACCCAGAGGGTATGATGCTAAGTGCAGTAAGTCAGACAGAGAAAGACAAATACCATATAATTTCACTTATATGTGGAATCTAAAAAACAAAACAAACAAAAAGCAGAAAGAGACCCATTAACACAGAACAAACTGATGGTTGCCAGAGAGAAGGGGGTTGGATGGGAAGGGCAAAATGGGTAAGGGGGAGTGGGAGATACAAGCTTCCACTTATGGAATGAGTAAGTCACAGGGATAAAAAGGACAGCTGAGGGAAGAGTCAGTGGTACTGTAACTGTTGTATGGTGGTAGATGGGAGTTATACCGTGGTAAGCACAGCATAATGAGTAGAGTTGTCAAATCACTATGCTGTACATCTAAAACAGATGTAACATTGGGTGTTAAACTATACTTACAACTATACTTCAATAAAAAGAATAAAAGTAAAATAAAAGTCCCATTAACCCTTGAACATGGATTTGAAATGTGCAGGTCCACTTACACATTTTTTTTTTTCAATAAATACAGTGTAGTATTGTAAATGTATTTTCTCTTCTTTTTTATTTTCTTAACCACGTTTTTCTCTACCTTATATTATTGTAAAAATACAGTATACAATACATATAACATAAAATATATGTTAATTGACTGTTCATGTTATCAGTAAGGCTTCCAGTCAACAGTAGGCTATTAGCAGTTGAGTTTTTAGCAAGTCAAAAGTTATATACAGACTTTTTTACTGCACAGGCGGAGGAGAGGTTTGCGCCCCTCACCCCTGCATTACTCAAGGGTCAACTGTACTCATGAATTGTTTCTGCACAGGTAGTCAAGCCTCTGAATGTTTAACCCCTTTCCGTAACAGTCATGACTATACCTACTAAGATCCAAAAAGAGAAAATCTTATAGATTACTCTCTGAAGCATTCTAAGGGGTGAAAGACATTCCAATAGAACCCATTATGGTTATAATTGCTGCAATCCCCTAATTGTGAGGATTATTCTCTTCCCAAAACCCCCTCTCTCCAGAAACTCTTTTTCTTGCCTGGAGTGTCAAAAGCTACAACCCTTTGTTTTTCCTTAGACTAGGAATCCTCTCCTTCTCTATGTTGGATCTAGAGAGGAAAAGACATTAAGGGCTTGCTTTTGTTTGGCAATATTTTAAATTCCCATCTTCATAATTACACCACATACTGAAAATTTCTGAGGTAATCAAAAACAGGGAAGCACATCAGATGATATATTACTTTTGGACATCAGGAGTGAAAACTAAAAGCCTGTCATTATGAAGATCTGTTCATTTCAATTCTCGCTAACAAATCCAATGATAAAGGTTAGAGCTTTATGTGCCATACAACTATCTGGATAGTCAATGAATTAATTCTAAACCATTTCCTTGAAAAGACCACATTTTTATCAGTATTATAAGTAAGTATTGTAAAACTCTGTAGTCTAAGACTGGATATGTATAACTAACCTGGGTATGGCTTCAGTGAAAAATCAAATGCTAATCTAAATTTGGAAAAAACTATGTGTTACCAAATTCTGGTATTAAAAATAACCCTACTGGAAAAAGAAGAAGATACACAATTAATTTAAAAGGTGTATGTGAATTTATGGCTTGAAAAAGATTTACAGATCTATCCAGCCAGGCCCTTCAATTTATAGCTAAAGAAAATGAAGTACAGATATTAATTTATCACCTCTAAAATCTTGGATAAAATAATAAGAACTAAATTCCTATCAAAGAAGAGAAAACTAAATCTCTAGATTACATAGAAGCAATGAGTATTAGAAGAAATATACACTAGATTAGTTCCTAAGAACAAAAATAAAAAAGTCAATTAGAAAAGGGTGAGATTATTTGAAAGATCAAGATTTTTCATATTAGAGAAGTAGTTCTCAACTCTAGCTATCCATCAGAATGAGGTATTGAGTTTTTCATTTTGTTTTGTTTTTCAAATACAGTTGCATAAGCCTTTCTCTAGGCTACATGATAGTCTTGGAGTACAGTTTAGGCATGTGAAACTTTTTTTTAAACCTCTTGTTATTCTAATGCATACCTAGGGATTACAATTCTGGTAAATTTGGACTTCCCATCTATACTCAAAACTGAATTATAAACAATTTAGACAGCAGAGCCATATAATGTGACAGTTCATATGGATAAAACACAGTGGATAAAAGTTTCTCATACCTAACAATAATGCAAGCCTAAGATACTCCTTTCTTTTACGCTATCTCTGGGCCCTGACAAACACTTTTCCTTTTAACTGGAAAGCCCTTCTTCCATGCCTTTGCCTGGATAACTCCTACTTAATTCTCAAAACACAACTCAAGTATTATCCTTCTGTAAAGCATTACTGGCGCCCTGCCCCTGGCCAAGGCTAAGTTAGGTTTCCTTTCCCTAAACCTCTCTGCACAGGTCTATCAGAACACAACACACAATGAAGGACAATTTTCCTGACTGTTCTCTCTGTAAACTCTGGGCTCCTTAAAGGTAGAATGTGAGGTTTACTTTTTTTTTTTTTCTTTTAATCTCCTGCATGTTTCAATAAAGGTTAGTCCATATTTTGGAGTCCATATTTGAAAGCAATATATATATAGCATTGGTTCAAAATGCCTAAGCTTTTCTGGGCAAGAGACAGTCTGACAACTTAAAACTCCAGTTAAGAGCAAGCAGATATAAGCAAATGTGTTTTTTCTACTATGCCATTTAAGCCATCTCTTGAGCAACATTTTTTTCTTATACTGGCTAAGTCTAAGCCAATGTCCATTCATCTAGGCCATACTCCACCAGGCACATGTAACACTAAACATGAAAATTTTAAATTTTACATATTTCTCCGTCATTACAATTCTCTTCTAAGGCTAATATCAATACTAACAAACTGTGTACACGAAATTGGATGATAAAGGAAAAAATAAAAATCATTGTTGGCTAACAGTGATCTCATAAGAAAACTAGATTAACACATGAACCTGGCATTACCAGAGCGTGCTATGCCACTGTCTCGGTCTTCATTCAGCTCTCTTCCAGGCATGTCCATTGGGTTGCTGTGAACTGTGAATTAAGACAAAACTGTCAGTTAAAGCATATAATGCTATTCAGCGTGACGTTGCTTCTTTTATATAGCAAATGAAATCATGCTCATCTCACTGCATTCCTTTATTTTTTTCAATAGCATGGCACAAACCCAACACCAAGAGCTATTACTCAGTTGAACAAGCTTTGAGATCTAGGTGAAGATTGACATATAATATGAAAATATGATATAATATCTAAAGAAGCAAGGGATGACTAAAAGGAAGATACTCACAATATGCTACTAAATGACTAAAAAGCATGCTACTGAACAATAAGAATGATTCCTGCAGGCAAATAATGGGTATATGATGTTTCACTTTACTATTCTGCCAATATTAATGTATCTTTAAAAATTCCTCAAAATAAAAATTTTAAGAAAATTGTTTGAATAGTATGATCCAAATTAAATTATGTGTTTTTTTAGAAAGGTTCATTCAGCTAGAATATAATTTTTTGCCCATTTTTCATATTTTTCAAATTTTCTGTAATAAATATGTATTGTTCCTATCTCATATTTGTAAGGAAAGTAAATATTAATTAAAACAAAAAGTTAGATACAACTCCCTGGATACAAGGCATAAACACACTCTATAATCATCAATTTAATGACATAAATACACTCACATATACCTTTTAGAGGTCAATATAGTGGTGCTTGTTCATCTAAATCTTAGCTCTAAGAGAAATCGTTCTTATGGAATAACACAGATCAGAAATTTTAAAATAATAACAGAGGACATTTTCTGCAATTGGTGAACTATGAGTACACAAAATTACTCAGCCATGGAAACAAGAGAGTGTCACATGAGAAATTCTAGCTGGTATTATAAGAAATAATGTTCATACTAAAATTTGGTTTAGGATTCTAAAGTTAAAATCATTATTTTATAATGAGATAAGAAATAACAAACTGAAATTTCATGAAAATGTCAATTCTACTGATAACTGAAAATTTCTGGAAAGTTTTAAGAACATACTCAGTAGAAAGGAATTAAGTTATTACACTTGCTAAACAATGTTTTCTTAACCACACCCTCCCCAAATGCATTTATCTGCTCTCTTGTTTCCACAGCTTAACTACAGATTCTAGCCACTGGAGCACACCAACTAGTCTACCCACACAGCACATTGCAAACCTGCAAAGAAAGAGGCGCTCCTGATCAGGCGGAGCGGACCCTGTTCAGAGAATGCCCGCCTGGGGCTGCAGAACTGTGAAAGACCTACATGGCAAAAACGTAAAATATATATGAAAGAGGGCTGTTAGAGAAGCCACAAAGCGTCAGGAATAAAGGGTGAGCTTAGGCAGCACAAATGCAGACCAAGAGATATGGATAGAAGCTTTTAAACTGAGTAAGAATAATTCAAACTGGCTTCCCTTCTTTAAAACAGGATGGTTTCTCTCTGGTCATAGCTTATGTCAAACAACAATTTCGTGCCTACTTACTAATAAATCTGTATATAATAATAACCTTCCACAATACAAGGTAAAAGTTATTTCAAATGTTCAATCCTTTCTAACCTAAAACAATGCTTTTAAAGATTCAAAAAAGCACAGTAATGTTATCTAAATAATTTGACATTTGCCAAATAAATTTATCTTTTAAAAAGTTAGGTTTGTTTGTTTATTTTTTAAGATTTTATTTATTTATTTGAGAGAGCCCGTGCACGAGAGAGCACGAGAGAGAGAGAAAATGAGAGAGAAAGCATGAGCTGGGCATGGGGGGCAAAGGAAGAGAGAAAAGCAGACTCCCGGCTGAGCATGGAGCCCACAGTGGGGCTCGATCGCAGGACCATGGGACCATGACCTGAGTTGAAGGCAGACACTTAACTGACTGAACCACCCAGCTACCCCAAAAAGTCAGTTGTTTTTTTTTTTTGCTTTTGTTTTTAAAGATTTTATTTATTTATTTGAGAGAGAGAGTGAGAGAGAGAAAGAGCACAAGAGGGGGGAGCAGGAGAGGGAGAAGCAGACTCCCTGCTGAGCAGGTAGCCTGATGCGGGACTCGATCCCGGGACTCCAGGATCATGACCTGAGCCGAAGGCAGTCGCTTAACCAACTGAGCCACCCAGGCGCCCCCCCAAAAGTCAGTTTTAAGATTACAGCATTCTCCTGCCCCTGCAGTAAAGAGAAAAACCACCTAAGTGCTTGGCTGAGAAAAGAGAACACAACATATAACAAAGAGCAGAAAAGGGATCTACTGACAAAGAGGTATCAAACTTGTTTTTTCTAACCTGGTGAAGTTACAAAGTAACTAACTTTGGAAGAAAGCAAAGTTCCTAAACCAAAAGTCAGCCACAATGGAAGCAGGAACACTAACGCAACCTATCAAGGCCAGACTCCCAGCTGTCCAGAAAATATGGCTGCCACACTGGACCAAACACAGAGTCTGAAGACTCAAAGGGGCAACATTATAGCCTGGAAGCAAGCAGCTGGGTTGCCTGCTATGCTTAATCAAGATGGCCTGAAGAGCCACCTAGGAGGTTACCCAGGATAGAATAGGGGCTTTCTGTTTTATCAAGTGACAAATGTATTTTTCAAATTGCTAATGGATATTTTTCTACAACAAGAATTTCTAAAATTATAGTGCATTTGCAGCAATCTTTCTGTGTTTCAACTGTTCAGCTCTTTCTTCAATTCTCTCTAGCTACTTCAAAACTTATCTCTCTCTTTAAACTCCTTCCCTATCTACCTCCTTCCTTACTTTCAGGATATGACTGTCTCCCTCATATGCATGTGTGCACACAAACAAAATTTACTAGATAGGAACTCTCCTGTTTCCTACCACCTTGTCTCCAAACTTAATCAAATTCTGGCCCAACTGTCTCCTTCCTGCTAGAGTTAGGAACCCACTCCTCTCTCCCTTCCAAAGCTAATTCTATGTCAGCTAGGGCCTTCAAAAATCTCACTTTACCACTTCTCTCTCTACCCTTACCCTCCTTATAACCTCCTATTCCATCAACATTTAAACACAGTCAAAACTAGTGGTGCCTGGGTGGCTCAGTTAAGCCTCCGACTCCTGATTTCGGCTCAGGTCATGATCTCAGGGTTGTGAGATCGAGCCCCGCATCAGGCTCCAATGCTGAGCTTGGAGCCTCCTAAGATTGTCTCTCTCCCTGCCCCCCCTTCTCAAAAAAAATAAAACAAAAAAGTTATTTAAAAAAGCACAGTCAAAACTATTCTCTCCATATATCTAATCTTATATAGTTCAATAGTTCTTAAAATGTGGTCTAAAGACTCCTTAGGGTCCTTGCAACCCTTTCAGGGGTCTGTATAAAACTGTATTTTCTTTTTTTCTTTTTTAAAGATTTTATTTATTTGACAGAGAGAGACACAGCGAGAGAGGGAACACAAGCAGGGGGTGGGGGAGTGGGAGAGGGAGAGGGAGAGGGAGGCTTCCCGCAGAGCAGAGAGCCCGGTGTGGGGCTCGATCCCAGGACCCTGGGATCATGACCTGAGCCGAAGGCAGACGCCTAATGACTGAGCCACCCAGGCGCCCCCTAAAAACTGTATTTTCTTAATACACGTCAACCAAAACAACATAGTACGAGAGAATGAATGCAGAAGCAGATATAAGGATTAAGTTGTATTCTATTAAGCCAGAAATGAAGGAGTTTTGCAAAAATGTAAAACAATGCCACTCTCCTCATAAATTTTCATGGAAAATAGTCATTTCATAACATGTATTTATATTAACATGAAAAAAGTTGTTTTTTTAATGACTTAATAAATTTTAAAATAGTTTTAATTTTTAATACATCATATATCAATAAAGGTAACCCACATAAACAAAAGCTCTCTGTGTTCCTCAGTAATTTCTAAATGCGTAAAAGGTCCTGAGACCAAAAAGAACCACTGCTTAAATCTTGGAAGAAAGAATGACCTCTGAGTCCCTCCTCAACTCTGGCTTCTATTCTCTCCACTGAAACTGCTCACATAGGCCACCAAAAGCCTTCCTACTGATTAATGCAGTCCATACTCTTATATTACCTTATTATATATTTGATGCTGACTAAATTACACTTTGAACTTTTCCCACAGTTCCCAATGATTACACACTAGGTTTTTTCCTTAATCCTCTTATGTGCTTCTCTTCACCTACTCCTTCCTTCTTTAAGCCAGCATTCCCCAGGATTTTATCCTCAACAACCTTTCCTTCTCATTATTTAAGATTTCCTAGGTCACCTCATTCATTCTTACACTTTCACTTATCATTTATAAGTTAATGCTTCACAAATCCATGGTAGATACAGCTAACTGTCTAACAAAGAACTGTGTTCTCCCTTCTATTTTATCAAGTAGTTTCTGAGAAGTTACCCAGCTAGGGATCTTATTTCTAAAATCATCTTATATTATAGGTGAAGTCATGTGATTAGTTACCACTAACAGAATGTGAACAAAACTGATATAGGTCATGTTCACACTGAGGTTGGTTATGAAATGGATGTGCCTTTTCAATACTCAATTCCTTTCCAATGGCTTCGTGCAGCTGAGCACAACAACCCTGGAAACCACATGTTGAAAAAGGCAGAACTCCAAGAAGGAAGGAGATGGGACCTCTGAAACACTGCTTGGAGAAAAACTGTTTATCAATGAGGAACATCCTTTTGAACTTCACATGACTGGGAAAAAAAAACAAAACTCTACTGCTTTAAAATTATTACATGCTCACTAGTTTTTATGTTACAGCACCTACCACTACATCTACTAACGAACTATAATGGATATCTTTATTTGAATAACCAACCAATACTTCCGTTCCAACATACATAAACCTAAAGTCACCAATTCCTAATTTCTTCTGTTCCTTCTATTGAATGGCACCAATATCCAAGCAATTACACAACCAGACAGTAAAGTGCCACACTTGATTCTTCCTTTCTCCTCCCTTCTTCCATCTAATTTCCAAGTCCTGTCCATTCTATTTCCCATAATGAACCTCTCAACAACTCTCTGTCCTCACTGACACAGTCTTATTCTAGGTCTCCAGTATCTGTCACTTGGATTATCAGAAGGACTCTTCTATTACAGATCTTTTCCTCAATCCCATTGGTTCACTTGAATCCTTTTCCACTGCAATTAGAATACTCTTTTGTAGATATAAAGCTAATCTGATCATATTTCTCTATTCTGACAACTCCTCTGTGGTCACCTTCAGAATGCACCGCAAAGATCTCCAGCTATAAGGAGTATAATTGACTAAGTACCCCAAGCTGATGTGTTCTGACATCTGTTGTGATGTCTGTGCAAGGCCACATATCCCAAAGGCTGTTCCTAGCCAGGGACTGATCACAGCAGACATAGTAAGGCAGACACATTTTGGCAACACATTAGCAATGAACTTTGACTTAAATACTTGGTAGGATAGGACACTTCCATTCAATCTTCTTTCATTTGGGGTCAGACTTGCATCACAATCTGAGGGCTCTCTTGACCTTTCCCAGCTCCCTCCTCATTTTCTCTTACATTGTCATTTTTCCTAATATTATCCTTGCATGTTTAATCGTGTCTTGCACCTGTTAAAAAACAGGTAGAGAACCCAAACTAACACACCCTCACTACTATCCAACTGCTTAAAGCCTAAGTTCAAATTCCTCACTACAGCCCAAAGCACCCTTTCTCATCAACTTCCTACTCACTTTTTTATTTCTTTTAACTCTCTTTACTCCTATTCTTTGCTCCATCAAAGAAGGGGATTTATTCACTTTCTTTCCTCATGCTATCATCTCTTGCTCCTAGGTCTGTGTACACACTACTGCTTTTTCCTAGAATATTTCTGTGCCCAAACACAGGGCTAATCCTTCCAGGTTAGGCTTCACTTCTTCAAGAAAGTCTGGGACTCTCCAGGACTGGATTAGGTACTCTTCCTCATTTCTATCACACCATGCTCTTTAGCATGTCCAAGAATTAACTGCACTCTTTGTATTACTTGTGTGATTCCCACTAACTACTGTATTACTTGTGTGATTCCCACCGTTGAGGCAGGAAGTTGTCTGCTTCGCCACTGCACCCTCAGGGACTAGCAGAGTGCTTAGCATAGAAGAGGTGCTTGAGAAATATTTGCTGATTAACTGGAAATGTAAAGAAAATAAGAAATGGTACTCAAATATCCTTGATTCACAATTACAAACGTGAAAGTAAAAGCCACTCATTATTTAAAGTCTACACTTTTGTAATGGATTAATTTCCTATCCTGTATTAAAACAGAGAAGATGAGTGTATTTAGTATCCATAAGGTAATTTACTATTTTAAGTGATAATGGATTTGTATTACTAAAATAAATAGCTTTTAATTAACCTCTTGAGCTTTGGAAAGTATCAAATTACAAAGAAAAAAGATTCAGTTATCTCCTTGTCACATTTTTACTTTATTAAAACCAATGAAATAGGGGCGCCTGGTGGCTCAGATGGTTAAGCATCTGCCTTCGGCTCAGGTCATGATCCCAGGGTCCTGGGATCGAGTCCTGCATCGGGCTCTCTGCTCCTTGGGAGCCTGCTTCTCCCTCTGCCTCTCTCTCTCTCTGTCTCTCATGAATAAATAAATAAAATCTTTAAAAAAAAACAATGAAATAACTAATCATTTGAGTTATGAAAAAGCAGTACTATTTTTCTAAAAAATGTACAAACTTTCTTTTTTAAAAAGACTTATTTTGAGAGAGAGAGGAAGAGCATGAGAGCAGGGGGAGGGGCAGAGAGAATCTCAAGCAGACTCACCACTGAGCACAAAGCCCGACACGGGGCTTCATCTCACAACCCTGAGATCCTGACCTGAGCCAAAATCAAGAGCTGGACGCTTAACCAACTGAGCCACCCAGGCTCCCCAAAATATGCAAACTTTCTAAAGTACATGCCTGACACTGTAACTAGCCCATACCCCTTGCTGAATAAATGGTTGTTCGTTTGAATGAACATAAATTATAAAAAATAATAGAATGCAATATGGTTCAAGTTGGAAGAAAAACTGTTTCCTGCTTATATATATAACTAATATTTATTAAAATCAATTTGAAATAAAAATTCTCACTGAATAAAGAAAAAGAGAAGTATTTATCCTAGTCTAATTGCTGTCCACGTTCTGGCATGTTAGTTATTTATGTACCAGGAATATGACCAGCATCAATTTAGTTTAGCTTTGTAGGGTAAAACAAATGACTAGAAATTTTAGGAACAGTTTGTCACTTCAAAATGTTGAACTTAAATAATAACAACAATCAACTATCCAAATTACTAACTAAGCTGTTATTTTAATAAATCTTTAAACGTATATCAAATTTGAATATCTGCTCATCTATCTGAATTCAGGTCACAAAAATGAACACCATTTTAAAATTATTTTTATGGTTAGGGAAGAGAGAAGGGAGAAAGTGTAATACCAGTCTTCTTCAGCTGAAATATTAAAAAAAGCTGGTAAGGACTTTTTGTATCAATGACAGTGCCTTTCAAAGATGCATCAAAGTTATAAACAAGAAACAAACCAGATATATCTTCAGCAGTTTTTTTTCACATATAAAATAAATATTATGTTCAAATATACAAAAAGTATGTTTTTCAAATAATACAAATGTTATACATACTTCCAATTTAAATTCCTTTTCCACTTCTAGTATGTGAAACTCTGTGGTCTTATTAAAAGATCTACATTATTAAGAAAGAACTGCAAATTCTTGTTATACTGTTAACCTATATAAAACTTGTAAAACCAAGAGAACCATTTACCTATATTTCCAAGTAGTCCATTCATAACTGTGTTATTATCAGCCTTTAATGTACTGTTGTCCTGATTGATGAATTCAAGACTGTCTTGCAGCCTAAAGGGGGAAAAGAAACAATAAATTGCAAATTCATTTTATGCTCTTGATGGCAATTCTTTGCATATCTCAATGAAATTTTAAGTATAAAACTGTTTTTTTTTAAGTTTTAAGTATTCTTCTTAGTTTATAGCATTGAATCAGGGGTTGGCAACCCCTGAGGACTAAATCCAGCCTGCTGCCTGTTTTTATAAATAAAGTTTTATTGGAAAACAGCCATGCTATGTATACAGCCATGTATGTACTGTATATGGCTGCTTTAATGCTACATTGGTAGAGCTGACAAACCAGACATACTGCATGGCCCACAAAGCCAAAATTATTTACTATTTAGAACTTTACAGAAAAAGGTTACTGACTCTAATTTAAATTGTAAAGGCTTTCCCTCATATTTTAGACCTGAAATTATTTTCTAAACTTCTGGCAGGAAAAGAAGAAAAAAAAAAAAAAAAGACAAGAAAAAAAATCAACGTATCATTAGTTCACACATTATAAATGAACTATATCACTCCTGTTAGTAAATTATTCAAAATAACAAAAATAAAATTACTTTATGCTTTTAGTACAAAGTATCTTCCTAGGGATTTTAAAAACCATCAGTAAAAAATTAGAAAAGATGAAGAAACTGAGAGGATCAGAGCTAGAATCAGAGATTCCAAAGCAGGATCTCTAATTTCTACTTTAGTGTTAAACTCTTGAAAATTAGCACTTTTAACATCAGTATTTTTTAAGCATCCATAATCCTGTGAAAAAATATCTCTCCCCTTTCCTTCCTTCCTAAAAGAAAAGTTAATAAAGAGCTATAAGTATTAGAACCTTAGCTAATAAAACCCCTGATAGGTCTTTTTGGAGCATTTACAATTAATGGAACCCTTGAGAATTTTTCTAGTTTTGAGTAGCCTCCTTGCTACCTCTCCTGCTGCTTTTGACTTTGTAACCCCACAGATTCTGGCTAGCCAGAGTTCTGATCTGGGCCCTGAAGTCCATCACTGGAATCCACTAACACCTCACCCTAACCCTAGTCCTTCATTTACTAAGTTCTGCATGTAGCCCATGATTCTAATATCAGGCCTGCCCTTGTTTCAGCTTCACTTTTCTAATCTTGGCATTAACACCTTGTGGTAATCTTGTGCCCTACCATGGGTGACCTAGGCCACTCCTGATTGCAGACTTAATTCTGCAAGGGATCTGAAAACTGAAGAGCACAATATACAGATGCTAACTCAGCATGGCATACAAAATGGAAAATCAGTATCTCATCCTAACATGGGAATGTCGTCAACATTTTACTTCCAGATATAGCTTCTAGGAGCAAATTAGAGAAAGAGAAAGCACATTTCCTATTCTTCAACTAAACTCAAATGAGAAGTAATCTGGACTCCATACAGAGAGCAGCTGAATGAATTAAAAAAAAATAACACCCAACAATATGCTGCCTACAAGAGACTCAGTTCAGCTTTAAGGATACATATAGGCTCAATGTGAAGGAACAGAAAAAGATAATCCATGTAAATGGAAATAAAAAAAGAGCAGAGAAAGCTATACTTAGAAAAAATAGACTTCAAGCCAAAAACAGTAACAAGAGAGAAATATGGTCATATAATACGAGGAGCAATTCATCAAGAAGACATAGCATGTAACAATCATAAATACAAATGCACTCAACATCAGAGCACCTAAACATATTAAGCAAACACTGACATATCTAAAGAGACAACAATGCAGTAATTAGTAAAGGACTTTAACATTCTACTTTCGACAATGAACAGATCATCCAGACAGAAAGTCAACAAAGAAATGTTGGACTTGAACCATACCTTACGCCAAATGGAACTAACAGATAAATCCATATATAGATATATCCAAGAGTAGCAGAATACCATTCTTCTCAAGTGGACATGGAACATTTTCTAATACAGATCACATGATAGGTCACAAAACAAGTTTTAGTAAATTTAAGAAGGCTGAAATCATACCAAGTACCTTTTCTGACCAGAATGGTATAATACTAAAAATCAGTAACAAAAGGAAAGCTGGACAGTTCACAAATATGTGGAGATTAAACAACATGACCCTGAACAACCAATGAGTCAAAGAAGAAATCAAAAGGCAAATCAAGAAATACCTTGAAACAAATAAAAATGGAAGCACAGCATATCAAAACCTGTGAGATGTTACAAAAGCAGTTCAAAGAGGGAGGTGATAGCAATAAATGTCTACAGTAAGAAGCCAAAAAGATCTCAAATAAATGACGTTGAATTATACCTCAAAAAATGAGGAAAAAAACAAAGCCCACAGTTAGTTAGGAAGGAAGGAAATGATCAATGGGAGAATAAATCAAATAGAAAAAAGAAAAATAACATTGAAGATCGATAAAACTAAGAGCTGGTTTTCTGAGGAGACAAAATCAACAAACCTTTAGCTAACTCAGAAAAAAAAAGAGAAGACTCGAATAAATGAAATCAAAAACGAAAGAGACATTACATCTGATACCATACAAATAAAAAGGATCACGAGACCACTATAAACAGTTACACACCAACAAAACAGATAACCTATAAGAAATGGATAAATTCCGGGCGCCTGGGTGGCTCAGTCGGTTGAGCGACTGCCTTCGGCTCAGGTCATGATCCTGGAGTCCCGGGATCGAGTCCCGCATCGGGCTCCCTGCTCGGCAGGGAGTCTGCTTCTCCCTCTGACCCTCCTCCCTCTCGTGCTCTCTGTCTCTCATTCTCTCTCACAAAAAAAAAAAAAAAAAAAAAAAAAAAAAAGAAATGGATAAATTCCTAGAAACATACAACCTACCAAGAATGAATCATGAAGAAATAAAAAATCTGAACAGACTAATAATGAGTACGGAAAATGAATCATTAATCAAAAACCTCCCAACACAGAAAAGCCAAGGGGACCACATGGTTTCCTTGGTAAATTCTACCAAACATGTAAAGAAGAATTAATGCCAATTCTACTCAAATTGTTCCAAAAATCAAAGAAGGAACAATCCCAAACTCATCTTACAAGGCCAGCATTACCCTGACACCAAGGCCAGATAAGGACATTATAAGAAAATTACAGATCACTTCTCCTGAATATTATAAATGCAAAAGTTCTCCACAAAATACTAGCAAACCAAATTCAACAGAACATTAGAAGATCATTCAATATGATCAAGTGGGATTTTATCAGTGGACTGCAAGGATGCTTCAATATACACAAAGCAATAAATGAGAATTACCACATTAAAAGAATAAAAGATAAAAATCACATGATTATGTCAACAGATGCAGAAAAATCATATGACTGGGGTGCCTAGGTGGCTCAGTTGGTTAAGTGTCTGCCTTCAGCTCAGGCCATGACCCTGGGGTCCTGGGAAGGAGCCCTGCATTGGGTTCCCTGCTCTGCGGGGAGCCTGCTTCTCCCCTCTCCTCCCCACTCGTGCTCTCTGTCACTATCTCTGTCTCTCTCTCTCTCAAATAAATAAAAATCTTTAAAAGAAAGAAAGAGAAAGAAAGGAAGAGAAAGAGAGAAAAAGCATATGACAAAATACAACATCTTTCCATGAAAAAAAAAAACCCTCAAAAAGTAGGTTGGAAGAACAAATATTGTTAAAATGTCCATAATACCCAAAGTCATCCATAGATTCAATGCAAGTCTTATCAAAATTCCAATGGCATTTCTCCAAGAAATAAGAGAACAATCCTAAAATTTGTACAGAGCTACAAAAGACCGTTAGTAGCCAAAGCAATCCTAAGAAAAACTATGCTACAACGCTAACATAATCAAACAGTATAGTACTGGCATAAAAATAGACACACAAACCAATGGAACAGAATTCAAGAGCCCAGAAAAAAACCCTGTATATACAGTCAACTAATATTTGATAAGGGACATTTAACTGGGAAAGGATAGTGCCTTCAATAAATGATGATGGGAAAACTGGATAACCACATGCAGATGAATGAAATTAGAACCCTATCTTACACCACTCACAAAAATGAACTCAAAATTGATTAAAGATATAAACAAAAGACCCCAAAACTGCAAATCTCCTAGAAGAAACCATAGGGTTTAAAAAGCTCCTTGACAATGGTCATAGCAGCAGTTTCCTAGATATGACACGAACAGCACAAGCAACAAAAGCAAAAATATGTAAATGGGAATACATCACACTAAAAAGCCTCTACACAGCAAATAAACAACTGATAAAATTAAAAGGCAAACTATGGAATGGTAAAAAATATTTGCAAATCCTTTATCTGATAAAGGGTTAATATCCAAAATATATAAGTAATTCATACAAATCAATAGCAAAAAACAACCTAACTAAAAAATTAATACTTCCTCTGAATATTCAGAAGAATTGAATAGACAATTTTCCAAAGAAGACATGCAAATGGCTAAGAGGTACATGAAGAGGTGCTCAATGTCACTAATCATCAGGGAAATGCAAATCAAACCATAACAAGGTATCACCTCTCACCTTTTATAATAGCTAACATCAAAAAGACAAGAGATTAACAAGTGGTGGACAGGGTATTGAGAAAAGGGAACCCTTGTGCACTGCTGGTGGAAATGTAAATTGAGGCAGCCACTGTGAAAACAGTATGAAGTTCTTCAAAAAATTAAAAATAGAACTACCATATGATCCAGGAATCCCACTTTTGGATATATATCCAAAGGAACTAAAATGAGGATCTCAGAGATATATGCACTCAGGTGTTCACTGTGGCATTAGTGACGACCATCCATAAATGGAGACAAACTGAGTGTCTATCATCAGATGAATGGATAAAATGTCACACACACACAAAGACACACACACACACACAGAAGAATATTATTTGACCATGAGAAAAGGGAATCCTGCCATTTGCGACAATCTGAATGAACCTTAAGGGCATTATGCTAACTGAAATAAGTCAGACAAAGAGAGACAAACACTGTATAGTATCACTTACCTGTGCAATAAAAAAACTGAACACAAAGAAACAGAAACCAGGGTGATGGTTACCAGGGGTTGAGAATGGGGGAAATGGGGTTATAGATAACAGTCAAAGGGTACAAACATCAATTATAGGATTATTAAGTTCTGAGATCTAATGTATAGCATGCTGACTATAGCTAATAATACTGTTATTTCATATACTTGAAAGTTGCTAAGAGAGTAAACCTTAAGTGTTCTCACCACAAAAAAGAAATGGTAATTTTGACAGGATGGAGGTGTTAGCTAATACTATGGTGGTAATCATTTTGTAATATATAAATGTATCAAATAAATGTGTTGTACACATTAAATTTACACAATGTTGGATGTCAATTATATCTCAATAAAGCTAGAAGAAAAAAGTCTGACCTCCATAAACTTTCAAACTTCAGGAAGAAAATCTCAATTTAAGCTGCAACCCTAAGAACAGTCTGTTAGTTTTCACACTTTGCACATCCTAAATAATCCATTTCTCCCAGCATTCATAATCACTTACGTATTGAGACTTCCACAGATACTGCTGCCGGTCCGTGCAGTAAAAACTTTGCTGAGCATAAGTTGTGGAGGGGAACTATGAAGAAAAAGAAAGGGACAGAGACAGAGATCAAAACTAAAACATAAAGAACTTCTCAATTTATTACAAATAAAAATGTATATGGGCGCCTGGGTGGCTTAGTTGGTTAAGTGTTGGACTCTTGACTTTGGCTCAGGTCATGGTCTCAGGGTTGCGAGATCAAGCCCCATGTCAGGCTGCATGCTGTGCATGGAGCCTGCTTGAGATTCTCTCTCTCCCAGGGGCGCCTGGGTGGCTCAGTCGGTTAAGCGTCTGCCTTCAGCTCAGGTCATGGTCCCAGGGTCCTGGGATCAAGCCCCGCATCGGGCTCCCTGCTCGGCGGGAAGCTTGCTTCTCCCTCCTCCCACTCCCCCTGCTTGTGTTCCCTCTCTCGCGGTGTCTCTCTCTGTCAAATAAATAAATAAAATCTTAAAAAAAAAAGATTCTCTCTCTCCCTCTCCCTGTTCCCATCCCCCCCACCAAAAAAGGTATAAATCACAAAGATATCATTGCATAGTTACAACAGTCATGAAGTAGCATGAAACCCATAAAACACCATAAATCTGACATGCTCAATCTGTGTGAAGACTACAGGAAATTCTCCCACCTTCAAAAATTACATGTTCTAAAATGGATTATGAAAAATCAGAAAAACCCTCACCGGATCTGATGAATTTTTAAGGTAGAACCTTTATAGCTCATTGCTACTGAGCCAAACATCATCTCTCCAAGCATATTGGCATCAGAAGAGCACCGAGAACCCTAAAAAATAACCATAACGTTAATAAAACTGCAGAATTTAAAACCTATTTCAAATATTGAATTTTACTGAAAATTCCTTTGCTACACTTATTCTACATACTTTTTTAAAAAGTGACTCTACATTGTATACACTGTTCTATAGCTTGATTTTCTTCATTTCACAATGTGTTACAGATCTAACCATATTGTTATACAAAGACTCCTTCTGAAGAGCTGCATAGTATTCTACTGTATGAAAATACCACAGTTCACCTTACTGCTGGACATTTAGGTTAATTCCAGGTTTTTATAATACTTAATGCTTAAATGAACACTGTTAATCACATCTTTTGCATATGCAATGTTTCTCCAGGGCAGAAAGTAAGAAATAGAATTCACTAAACATACAGAACAGTTTTTACCACTCCTACTGTGCAAAAGAGGTATCTATAAACATGGTAATTTATATCTATTTTGTATTTTTTAAAAGGACTTACTTAAAACATTACAATGTCTTGCTCTCAAAGAACTCCAATTAAAAGTTATTCCTTTCCATTATTCTTTAAATGTCTCTGTCATCATAGGAGTCAGAAAAAAAGTAAAATTGAACTCATCCATTTGGTTACTAATTAGATACTGTGGTAAATATCACTAATTACCCACAAAATATCTTATTCTTTACTTTTGAAGTCTAATTTGTTTCAGGGCGGCAATGTGTACCCCCCCCCCTTCAAAATGCATTTCACAGCCTCCCTTGTAGACAATTTGTGAGTTGGTTTCTACATCCAAAAGGTTAAACTAATGGCTGGAATAGCACTTTCACAACTTATGCATTTATATGCATTCAACAAAGGCCTGGTCAATGAGATATAAATGGAAGTCACTGGAAATGGAGATGCCATATTAGGACCACAAGGCAATAATTACACATTAACTCTAGCTAAGTAGAAAGATAAGGATGCCTTGGTTTGTAAAGCCATCTTGAAACCCATGTACCATACCTAGATGGCCTTTCAGACTTGTCACGTGAACAAAATAATCCCTAGGAATAATGCAATTCCTAACTTACACAGTTATATAATAAAACAAGTGATGAGGAAGAGGACCTAAATAACTATCTAAAATAATAACTGATTATTATTCACAAATTTCACTAAGCCATTCCATCATAAAAAATAAAAAATTAGGAGTTTTAAAAAATATTTAAAAGACTCTTCTGATGATAACAAAGTGTTGAAGAGCCCCATTTTACATGTGGAGGCCAGGGAATATATCTGCACACTATTTTTATTTTTATGTGATTCTTCTACTCTTCTGCTTATTTAATGCCCATCTGGGTTTTTAAAAAATCTATATATTTACATTGCTAGCTTTCTTAAAAAAGCATCTTCAAATAGCAATCTATTTCATTATATATAACTATTTTGTATTAGTTTTTTTAATATATATTCATTTACATATTATTTTTTCTCTCTTAGGTATTATAGTCTTAATTTTGTTTTAATAAAGACACAAAGCCAATGTTTAAGAAAAAAATCACTTCCGATATACCTGCTTACTAAAATAACTCATCTAGGGATCTGATTAAGAAAAAATTTTTATTTCAAAACACAAAGGTTTGGGTACTAAAAACAACATTTTAGGAACAGAGAGAATAATTCTTTTAATGATCAAGTGCGAAGTTTTTTTTTTTTTAAGATCAATGCCTATCTTCAAAACTATTATGAATTCAAATATCAAAGCATTTACAGATTTTACTACTAAAACTGGAAAAGAGTCCTCAGAAAGCAAAATATAGTAAAAATAAATTCATGTTTAAATTTCATTAGACCATATAGTTTGCCAGTAAAGGTTATCTTTGCCTGCTCTAATACATACCAAATAGTTATCATGAATGTCACTGGCATGTTATATATTTTTATGAAACATAATCTATAATAAAGGTTATAATTTAAAAAGTGCTATTATCTTTCACGCTTTTTTTAAATAGGCCTTTATTTAAAAGGTCAATTTTTTAAGTACCTATTGCTAGAAGCTTTTAATCTGTAATAATCTGTGTAGACCAAAAATAATGTTCTAGTTACCGAAAATCACATTTATCAAGTGTAGTGAACTATATGCTACAATAATTCAATGTCTCTTGCTAAAAAAGCAGATTTCCAGGACCATACTGAGCCTATATCAGAATATCTGGGCACATAGCCTGGGAATATGAACTTTAAAAAAAGAAAATCTCTAGGGATCTTGATGCAACATGAGGGTGCAATCACTCAATGCTTCAGGGTTTCTGCAATCTGGATCCAAGGGCTAATAATGATTTTTAACTGCATTGTATCAGGCAGATATGCAAGTTTACACAATTCATCAAATCAGCAAACACCCAACATGGTATAAGTATGATGATGTCACATAGCATAACACTATTAGGAACTTACTAAGGTATCATGCTTAAGCTGGAGGAAAAACAGGGGAAGACCCCTGGGGCAACTATATAGTACCTCCTAGTATCTGGATTTTAAACACTTCAGAGCTCTTTCATATACACTGTCACATTGACATGAAGAAGGGTCACTTCCCATCCAAACACAATTACTAATTACAAATAATTTAAAGACCCAGAATTCCATGTTGATATTGCTAAATATAAAATACTTGTGATTCATTCATGCAAACTTGGATGACACAAATAAATTCACATAGATGACATTCACTTGGTATGAAGCCAAGCATTTAATCTTATGTAAAATACAACAAGTTTATACATAAGTTCCCATTAGGTACTAATTTGTTTAACTTTGTATTTTAAAAGAGTCAGATTACTTCTGAAGTATATAAATGTCCATTTCTGCATGTGTATGCTTCCAATCATACTACAATTTCATACTACAGCCAAACTGTATTATTAGTTTATATTTATATTCATATTTCAATAATTTATAAGTATCTAAAATGAATTATTCTGGTAGCCCAAAAAATCTGAATTGGGAAATAAAAGGGAGAAACTACCCCTTGCTACGTATGCCCAGTTTCTGAACTTCCTAAGATTTATCAAAATGCATAAACTTACTTATTTAATTACCTGCCTCCCCAGAAAGTTAAGGACTAGTTCCTGCTATATCCCCAGTCCCTAGGATAGTGCATAACACATTGTAGGTACTCAAAAGTAGTTGTGAGTGAATGAATGAATAAATAAATGACATCAATGATCTTACTTGGTACTTCGAACACTGGTCTTTTACATCAGAAGATGAAGTCACAGAACTATCCAGTGAGGAAGAACTGTCTCCTCCAGGTTTCAGTTGGCAGCATTTCCCAAAGACTTTTACTTGAGCATCACTACAGAGTTTCTGAAATAGAGATATTATGCCCATTCATATTAATAGAAGACTTTTCATCATATACAAGTTTAATTATAGTATAAAAACCTTTGAAAAAACCAAGTATGAGATAATTCAAAGTAATATAACCTTGGTAAAATGATTTGCATTTTACTGCATTTTCTCCAGTACTGTTTTCCATTCTTGTGGAGTTTGTATTGTGCTTTTCTCACCAAGGTTATCAAATCATGGAATTTTTCTTATCATTATGGTCTACAACAATGTTCATTACTAGTGACATAATATATTACAGCAGTTTTCAAATTATTTGATCTCAAACCCCCTTTTAGGCCTTTTGTTTGTGTGTTATATCTATCAATATTCTCCCATATAAGAAATTAAAATGGAGAAACTTTAAAATATTAACTCACTTAAATATAACAATACACACATTACAGATTAACATTAAATAACATATTTTTATGAAAAAAACTTTTTTCATTAAGTAACATTAACATATTTTTGTGAAAAAAACTTTCATGGAGAGATGTAGGGATGGGAGAAATAAAAATGAAGGTTTTGTATTTTACTAAATGTGTGTGTCTCTACATATATGAACTTATGTTTATTATTTTGAAATGAGAATGTATTCATGTATTGAACAGTTAAATTTTTAATAACAGCTGAGTTTAGGACCAGAAGGCTGTACAGTGGTGTAGTATGAAAGAATCATATATTTCTATTTCTTTTTCTCTATGCTCTTGCTTTCCTCCTAATTTCCCCACAGGTTCTAGAGCTTTCACTGCCCACAACTACCAAAGTTGCAATCCACCAAGGACTTTGATACTCCTAAAAGTATTCTGGTGCTTTATCACATTTACCAGTATGTAACTCTTCCCTGTAAAAGACCTCAGTAGGTTTTCAGAAGAAGTAATGTGACTGAAATCACAATTTTTGAAGGCCAATTATTTTACAAGTTGCCACCATCACCAAAGGCATTGTAAAAGAGAACACATGATAATTCCAAAAATGTAAAGAGCATGATAAACTAAAAAGAACAAGGGCTTTAAAACTAAATAGACATGAATTTAAATCCTGGCTCCTTGGCAAGTTACTTGACCTCTCTAAGCTTATCTATTTAATGAAGAGAAAGGGGTGTGTGTGTGTGTGTGTATCTCATTATGTACTTATAAATAAATAAATATATAAAGTGCCCTATACAGCATCTAGAACTAGCATATGCTTACTGGTTTTTAGTTATCAATACTATAGAAAAAAGCTGAAGTAAGAAAAACTGAATGCCTACTGAAATAACTGAATGTCTAATCTGGAGTCAGGAACTTCACTAGTTATTTCCATTTGTATTATTTCATTTAGAGACTTACTAAAAATACTGATTATTTTTAGCACTGATATTCTTGGCCACATCTTAATAAATTTCTACTTAATGATCACCATCAAAATTATAGGCCTTCAAGCATATTTTCTGTAATATTCAGGACAGTAGATATTATAACCCAGTTTAACTGATAAGAAACCTGAAGCCCACAGAGGTTAAGTAACTTCACCAAGATTACAAGAACTAGTAGGTCTATAATATACTTAAAGGCAAAACCCAGCTAGCTTTACATGAAAGATACTCAACATCACTAGTGATTAGGGAAATGTAAACTAAAACCACAGTGAGTTACCACTTCATGCCTATTAGAATGGTCATCATCAATAAATCAAGAGACAGGGACGCCTGGGTGGCTCAGTTGGTTAAGCGACTGCCTTCAGCTCAGGTCATGATCCTGGAGTCCTGGGATCGAGTCCCGCATCGGGCTCCCTGCTGAGCAGGGAGTCTGCTTCTCCCTCTGACCCTCCCCTCTCTCATGTGTGCGCTCTCTCTCACTCATTCTCTCTCTCTCAAATAAATAAAATCTTAAAAAATAAAAATAAAAAAAATAAATAAATCAAGAGACAACAAATACTGGCATGGATGTGGCAAAAAAAAAAAAAAAAGGGAAGCTTTGTGCATTACTGTAAATTGGTACAGCCACTATGAAAAATAGCATGGAGGATCCTCCAAAAATTAAAACTCGGAACTACATTACAATGCAGCAATTCCACTTTTGGGAATACATATCCAAAGGAAATGAAAACACTAAGTCAAAAATATATCTGCACCCCCCATGTTCATGGCAGCATTATTTACAATAGTCAAGACATGGAAAGAACCTAAGTTTCCATCAACGGATAAATGGATAAAGAAGTTGTGATATAGATATATATAGATAGATAGATAGATAGATAGATAGATAGATATATGATATTCAGTATATCTGTTTATTATATATAGATATAGATATATATCAGCCATAGAAAACAAGGAAATCCTACCATTTGCAACAACAAAGATAGACCTTGAAGGCATTATGCTAAGTGAAATGTCAGGGAAAAACAAATATTGTTCAGACTTGTGGTTACCAGCAGTGGAGGGTGGGAGAAAGGGAATTGGAGGGGGTGGTAAAAGGTAACAAATTTCCAGTAATAAGATAAATAAGTACAAGGGATGTAATAATGTACAAGAGAATAACTATAGACAACACTGCTATATGATATATGAAAGTTAAGAGAATAAATTCTAATAATTTTTATCATAAATAGATTTTTTCCTTTCTTTTTATTCTATCTACATGAGAATATAAATGTTAGCTGAACGTATGGTGGTAATCACTTCACAGTATATGTAAATTAAACCATCAGGCTGTACATCTTAAAACTATGGAGTGATATATGTCAATTATTTCTCAGTAAAACTGGGGGAAAAAACCCAAACTCAGTGGGCCTGTTGCAAACCACAATTTTATAAGTTAAAAAAAGTATGTGAGTATTACGTGGACCAGTAACTAAGAAACAAAGTTGAATGAAACAGTTCCTTTCCTCATGGAACTAACGAGAGAAAGAGAGATTTAACAAATAACTAGACAAATATGTATAATATGTGTATATATATGTATAATATATAAATATATATATATTTTTTCAAATATGTCCTATCATGTTAGCAACAGCTAACTCATATTGCACTTACTATCTGCTCAGGTACTATTCCATTTTACATAAAGCCACTACTCCTTTACACCTCACAACAACTCTATTATCCCCATATTACAAATGAAGAGGTTAAGGATCAATGATGTTTAAGTGAACTGCCTAAGAGAGAACTTAACCTAGTCTAGGGAGATCAAGGAAGCTGGGACTACAAAAAAAAGGAAAGGAGTTAAAAAGGTGAAAGAAGAATGGGAGGGCTAGAAAGATATTCCTGGCTGAGGGAACTCTGTATATCTAATCTCTGAATCATGAAGCAATTTGCCATAGGAAGGAAAGGGACAAACATACATCAGTTTCAAAACTGAAGCATAAACATGTGCATAAAAGTGTACATAAAAGTTCTTACTACAAACACACACACACACACACACCCTTCTCCCCTACCAACTCCCCAGCTGTTCAGTGTCTTTTCTCTCTCACATTCTGAAGTCATGGCTTTTCTGAATCCAAACAGCAACAACTTCTGTGGAAGATGGTCTAGTGAGGGGACAGAGCACAGTCAGCAACCCTCAGGTAGACACAGGCCATCTATGAGCACAACTGTAGAGCAAAAAGGATTCAGTTTTTTTTCCTTATCTTACTTTCATTCCTAAAGGAATCATGCCATACTTTATTTTTAACCCACAAAAAATATGTTCTAGGAATGCATAAAAAATGTTATAAACATCACTGGAAAAAACCTGGCTTTTTATAGATTATAATTTTTATTAACTATTTTTTTTTCCATCTTCACATAATCACAAACAAGCTGCAGGTTTAGTTCAAAGAATTTTTTTTTCTGAATTAAATGGGAGTAAGTTGACTACCTGATACACTATGAACTCCTAAAGTATCAATACCTGAATGTGTACTTCCTACAAACAAGGACATTCTCTACATAACCACAATACAGCTACTTTTCATGTGGCATATGATCTCAATGCCCATTTATGATAATATTCTTGACACTGATGATCAGTATCAAGTGATTAAGGTGGTGCCTACCAAGCATCTCCACTGTAAACAAATGCTCTTCTCCTCTATCATTAACAATATTTTTGGTTGGGGGGACTATGAAATTCATATGCTGCTTATACTTATATGCCATAATATACTGTTTCTCACCAAACTTTCAATTTATTTAGATCATATAAACTCATGGTTTCCTATTTCATTCAATGGGTTGTAATTTGCTACTATCATTACTTGTTTTTATGCTAGAGTTTTCCCTACTTAGCCAGTGACAACCCCTTCAAGCTGGCTTCTATGTTCCTTTGACATGTTCTCACCATTTTTTAAGCTTTCATCACAAGTTCCAGGCTTATTCTTTTCCTTCCCTGCTTCAGCCCAAGGACCAGTCATTTCTCTAAGAAGCCTTTTTCCTTTTAGTGGAAAATGGAATCTAGACAATAAGATCTAGATGCTAGGTATGCCCATTTGTTGGGGACTCACTGTTCCTCTGCTTTCTCAGTAGATAGAGCTAAAGAGTATACATATGTGTTTAACACACACATAAACAAGTTTATATCTACGTTTATCATATTTATGTATATATGTATATGAGTGTATATGTGTGTGTATATATATGTACATATATATGCATATATATATATATATATATATAAACTTAGGTTCACAATAAATCCAATTCCAATCCAACACCACAGGGTTCTTCTAGTTTTCTCCTTTTCCTTATTTGTAACTTCCTTTCTAACATTCAGAAAAACAGGCCTCTCATTATCCTTCATATGTATTTATTTAATCAACTCCCTCATATGAAACCAGTTTTTCATTTCCCCTGTCACTCCCTCACATGCATGGACGTTTTCCTCAGGCTCAGACAGCCAAGATGGATATCCTCCCCATCCAATACTGTATCAAGCAGCACCTTATGGAGATGCCCTCCTTACCTTACCTGAGCTCCAACACTCTGCTCTGGGCCACCATGCCTCCAA